TTTCCATTATGATATTCTGTTTTTCACACTGCTACTGCGGTATTGTGATATAATAAGAAATGTATATTTGGTCCTCATCCCCAGTTCCTGGCACAAAGCTCCTAAAATCCTTGTCATCTCCTGAGTGGTAAGGGTGATAGGAACATCTTTCAATATATTTGGTTTTAGACCCCAGTTTCCTGACACAAGAGCTTCTAGGGCCCTTGGAATCTCTGGAGGGAGTGTCTTTCTGTACGCTAACGAGATGACTGGTGGCTGGGGTCCCAGGTGGTTTCAGGTGGCGTGCTGGTTGCCAGAAAGACGAAGACATGATGAGAGGATTAGAACTCTCAGCCCCACTTGACTGGGGCTGGAGACTGAGTCAATCACCAACAGCCAGTGATTTATTTAATTAATCATGTGTACATAATGGAACCTCCAAAGAAACCCCTAAAGCAGTGGTCCCCAACCTTTTTGGCACCAGGGACTGGTTTATGGAAGACAGTTTTTCCATGGGCCAGGGGGATGGGGCGAGGGTGGGGTGGTGGTGTGGGGCTCAGGCAGTGATGTGTGGCCCATTCCTAATAGGCCACGGACCGGTACGAGGCCGTGGCCTAGGGGTTGAGGACTGAGCCCTAAAGGATGGAGTCTGGAGAGATTCCAGGCTGGTGAACCCAATGCTATGGGGACAGAAGCTACTGTGTTAGGACCTCACCCTGGGTAACTCTGGCAGTTCACGTGTATCCTTTATAATGTCCTTTATGATAAACCAGCAAATAAAGCAAAGTGTTCCCCTGAGTTCTGTGAGTCATTATAGCAAATTACCAAACCTGAGGAGGGGGTTGTGGAAACCCCTGATTTTTAGCCCAGTTGGACAAAAGTGTGGGTAACCCGGGGACCCATTATTTGTGATCAGCATCTGAAGCAGGGAGGGGGGGGCAGTTTTGCAGGACTGATCTTTAACCTGCAGGGTCTGCGCTAACTCTGAGTAGCGCTAACTCTGGGTAGCTAGCGTCAGAATTGAATTAAATTGAAGGACACCCAGTTGGTGCACGCAGAGAATTCCCTTGGTATGGAAAGCCCACACATTTGGTGTCAGAGGTGTTGGGTAAGAAACGGTTTTCCTTTAACCACCAATTTCTGAAGTCCCCACAACTGACTGCTTAAATACGCACACACACACACACACACACACACACACACACACACACACACACACGTTTTTTTCAATTTAACTTAAACGACCAGTACATCAAGATCTTGAATGCTGCCAGGCACCCATGATGAACTCGTTTTCTGAAAGCTGGGAACACAGGATTGAAAAGGTACATCTTTGGTTCTGAAAGGGTCCTAGAAGCTGAGTCAGACAACTGTGCAGCAGAAGGTGGATGTGGCAGAGGAGAACAGAGTTCTACGGTTATTAGGAAGGAAGAGTCCATCCAAAGGGCAGTGGGGAATACACCATGGAGAGAAGGGAGGAGGAAATGAACCCTACCTAAGCGTCATGCCAGTTATATTGTCCCAACAGCCCCATGAGCAGGCAGAGTACCCATTTAACAGACAAAGCAACTGAGGTGAAGAGAAAGATGAGGTGACCTGCCCAAGGTCACACAGTTAATCATGCAAATCGCTCTGTCCGACTCCAAAGCCCATGTTCTCTCCTCTACATCAACAAACTTCAAATCATGTTCTATGGAGCCCTGGTGGGTGGGGGTGGAGGAAAGTCAAGAGAAGGCCAGGTAGGTGGGGCTTGGCCCCATCAGAGTTTTAACCCCAACAGCTCTGCTTTCCATATATACTTATAGATTGGGGCTCTACATGAGATTCCATTTGAAAACAAGTCCTGCAGCTAACCAAACCAAGGTTGAACCCATGTATAATGATGTGCTCCCCAGCAAGTGAATGGGTTGAGCCTTGGATTGGGAAAGGTAGGAGGGCCATGCCATCTGTGTAGAGTGGCAGTGAGATGGGGCTAAGCGTTACTTCCCTCACTCTGGAGAGAAGCTGCCTGCCTTCACAGTCAGGCTGCACACCTGCCCAGCTTGGAGACCTGAGGCAAAGCACCGAACCTCCTGAGCCTTGGGTTCCTCAGCTCCAAAATGGGTAGAATATCAGCACCTACTTTGTAGGGCTGTTGAGAGAATTGCACGCTCAAAGGTACAGAAAGCAGGTGGCACAGTGCCAAGCACTTAGCACAATGGCATTCTTATTAACTTGTTGAACACAACAAGGCTAGTCATACAAGGTAAAACAGCAAAAAAGGGAATATTGTTATGGACTGAATATTTGTGTCCTCCATATCAAATTCATATGTTTAAATCCTAACCCTCAAAGGGAGGCTATTAGGAGATGGGGCCTTTGGAAGGTAATTAGGTCATGAGGGTGGAGCCCTTGTAAATGGTAGTAGTGACCTTACGAAAGGGACGCCAAAGAGTTCTCTTGCCCTCTTTCCACCGTGTGAGGACACAAGTCTGCAACCCAGAAGAGGGCCTCACCAGAACCCCACCATGCTGGCACCCTGATCTCAGACTTCCAGCCTCCAGAACTGTGAGGAATCAATTTCTGTTTATAAGCCACCAGTCTATGACATTCTGTTATAACAGCCTGAAGTTATATTGACTAAGACAATCATGAAACTGTAGGAAGAATTCTTAGGGAAACTAAAAAATTCTGCCCCTGAAGAGCTGCTATGGTTCTGAGCTCCACCTTGCATCCTCTCCTGGCCTTGATAAATACAGGTTTTGTATTACTGGGACACACATCTGAAAGACAAAGGAGGCTTCGGTGCCTCAATTTGTTGAGTTCCGGTTCCATCCCCATTGCTGCTATCAGCTGGTTCAGCAAGAAGCTTAATGAAGACCGGGCTTCAAGCGATGAGGTCAGTAACCCCAAGGTCCCAAACTAATTTACCACCACTGCTCTGAGCAGGTGGCCACAAAGGATCTCCCCTAAGCTGACACTTGGCTCTTGCACCAAAGCCCTGGGGCAGAGGGAGGCTGTGTATCAGCTGCGCCAAACCCTAGAGGATCCTCCGCTGGCTAGATGGGACCTTGCCCACGGGCAGAATTCTGCAGGGCACAGTGGGATCCCAGGATCCTTGCATCGGAGACTGCCAGTGAATTCAGTTCCCAGGGTAGGTTTTGATGGCTTACAACAGAATGCGATCCCCACGAGGGCCAGGATTTTTGCTTGTTTTGTAAACTGCGGTATCCCACAGAACAGAAGCACATCCCTGTGAATGAATGAATGATGTCTGCATTCAGGATGATCTAGCGCCCGCATTCTCTTAAAACACACAGGGCTTCCACGGCTGTTCGCTGAAGGACTGGCTGGGTGGGACCTTCTTGCCTCTGCTCTACTTTGGTTTCTCCACCTGTGGCCTCAGCTGGTGGCACCACCTCTGGGTCTCTGACCATTTCTCTTTGGAGAGGTTTGACCTTTTCTCTCTTCCAGGTGGAAGAGAGGGTCATTTGCTACAGAGCACTGAGCAAGAAGGTCGACTTGTGCCGAGCACATGACTTGCTCCTTTCATGCTCACTCTGCCAGAAACGAAAATGTTAGAGGTAAACATGTCCACAGAAGTCACCTCATCATGGTACAGACAAGGAAACTAAAGGCCTGAGACATCAAGGAAGTAGCCCAAGGATGCAAAGCTGGCTGCAGGGAGGGGCAGAAGCCTTGGCCTTGGGCCAGAGCTCCCTCTATAGCACTTTCTAGGGCCCTTTCTTGGCCTCGTGCCAGTCGGAAAGTCTTGAACTAATTCACAGAAATGCCCCTTAAGCCTGGATTCTCTTTCTATGTATTATAAACATAAAATATACCTACAGTATATACACAGATACAGATATATATATATGTGTAGATATGTATATGTTATATACATATACATATACATGTTCATAGGTGACATTAGTATATATAAACTATTCCATCATTCCCAACATATTTGTTAAAGAGCTTAGATAAGCTCAACTCCCTTTATTTCATGGCTATTTATTACAGAATAGTGATAACTGAAGGGGCGGGGGAAAGACAGAAATTCAGAGTGTGAGAAAGGGAACAGTGTCTCATGTGCAAAAGCACATTCAATATTACAATTGCTTTGATTTTTTTAAGGCACAATATTGAATGCACTTTGAAAATGTCATAAAGGAGGGTATTCAGATTTTATGTTCATCAAAAGGGCATATGGCTTAAATAAAAAGATAGGGAGACATTGCTCTGGACTTAACAGTGTATTACAACTTTGGAAATCGTCTGGTCCAATTCCCTATTAAAGATAAGGAAACTTCCACCCAGAAAGGTGAAGTGACTTCTTGTCTAAGGTCGAATAGCTGTTTATTCGTGAGCGGAGTGGCCATGTGGACTGTGTCTGCTATGTCCACGGCAGCTGCGTTAAATGGAGTCCACAGTTTGTTGTTGACCAATTAAAAAAATTTATTACACCAAGGATGTTAAGATACAGAGGGAAAGCAGTTCCCAGCCACACCTGGATTTTCTCTAACAAGGGAAATTCTTGGAAAAGGAGAAGTGGAACCTGACGCTTTACCTAGACACCATTTTCTTGGGGCAGCATCCCGATGGCCCACGCACTGGGCTGCCCTCGGATCCAGCCCTCTGTGCGTATTAACAAATCTGGGGAGAGCCCCTCCCGGCCCTCCTTCGCAGGGAGAAAACGCCAGGGTGCAGGAGTGACTGACTCCTCAAGCCGATGCTCTCCCTCCCCTTGGTCACCTGCAGAGGCCACTGCCAGGTTGGATGGATGGTTGCAGTCTAGTCCCATTTACACAGACAAATTTTGGGTTTTCTCTCATTTGTTCTGACAGGACGGAGCATTTCAGCAGGACTACAGCTCCTAAAATAGTTATCCTGTGAGCAGAGGCAGCAGCCCCAGGAAGAGTTTACCCACAGCCTTGGGCTAAGACAGACACAGGGCCAGACCCTACAGGGAGCCAAGGAGGAGGTGACCGTCCCGGAGTGACAGCTGCCAATGCGTCTGCCGGGGGCAGGAGTCCACTTACCGCAGTGCGACTGGAAAACCTGTGGCTTGACGACCTGATTACAGGCACTGCACACTACGAGATAGAAGTCGTCATGTGCTGGATAATGGCCAAATAAGTGCATATCTGTGGGGGAAATGAAAACAGTGGTTTTTGAAAAAGCAATTAAGTCTCAGAAGGTGTACAGTTTCCTCTTGGAATTCCTTCAAGGACAGTTTTTCAAACAAGACACGCAGAAAAGCAATAATCTTTACTAAAGGGAACGTGGCTTGTCATAACGCAGCTCCCCACCTCTCAGAGAAGCAATTGCCGCAGAGAATCCCTTCTCATTTCGCCCTCGGAAATGGACTGCTGCTCCCGCCCATGTGGTCCTCGGGGTTGAGGGGCCGCCTCAAGTCACAGGCTGTAAGAATCGCCCTGTCCTGAGACAGCCCAAGTGTTAGCTGGGACCTACTGAGGCCCTATTTATTTCAGGATTGACTCCCCCAAACTCATTTCTGTTTAAGCAGTCGTCCCTCAGATGAGTGAGGGCTGGGGACAGAAGGAGGAGTCATCTTGGCCTCAGCAGTCCGTGCGTGTCCCCTTCACCTGAGGGAGATACCCAGGCCAAAGGAACCCTCTGGACAAGCGGCTTGCCTGCTACTGTCACTACCCGTGAGGTAAATACCTACTGAGCGCCTACGTGTGCCAGGCACTGTGCTAGGTGCCGGGGAAAACTGGGGAACAACAGTGAGTTAGTTCCTTGCTCTCCTGGAGCTCACGGTAGCAGAAGAGAGACACATTAATCACACTAGTCATCACTGGGGGTGACTGCGGGAGGTGCTAAGAAGGAGATGTACGGGGTCCCCTGAGTGTGTGTGACAGGTGGACCTAACCTGGTCTGCAGCGGTGGAGAATGCCTCCCTGAGGAGGGGCATGTCATCTGAGAAACCCCGGATGAGTAAGGCATAGAGAAACACAGGGCGGGTGGGGAAGGAGGAAAGTTCCAAGTTTAAGCAAGGAAGCAGTTTGGTGCATAGGAGGAGCTCTGGGCCCCTTGGTGGGAACAGAAGAATAGGGGGGCGGTGGGGGTGAGGCTGGGGAGGGCCCAGAGCTGTGAGCCTTGCAGACCAAGGGAAGCATTTTGAACCTGATTTTGAGAACGACAGGAAGCTACCTACCGAGATTTTAAGCAAAGAAGTGACATGATCAGATACGTTAACATATTGTTAAAAGATCAGTTATGTGGTATATACCTAAGAGACATGAACACGTATGTCCACACAAAAACCTATACGTGGACGTTCATAGCAGCATTATTCAGAAAGCCAAAAAGTGGGAACAACCCCAACGCCCACCCACCGAGGAGTAGATAAACAAAACGTGTCAGATCTCCACAATGGGCACCGTTCATCCACCGAGAGGAGCGAAGCAGCGATCCGGCACAGCGTGGATGAACCTGGAAAACGTTCTGCTAAGTGAAAGGAGCCAGACACAAAGGCCACGTGCTGTGTGACGGCTCATACGAAATGTCCAGAAGGGCGAATCCACAGAGACAGAAAGTAGGTAAGTGCTCGCCTCGGGCTGGGGGCCGGGAGGGATTGCAGGGTGACTGCTAAAGCGTGCAGGGCTTCTTTCTGGGTCAATGAAAGTGTTCTAAGACTGATAGGGATGATGGTTGCACAAGTCTGGGAATATATTAAAAACCACTGAATTGTGCACTTTAAGTGGGTGCATTATATGGTATAGGAATTATATCTCAATAAAGCTGTCAATAAAAAAAGATCAGTTATGAGGAAACTCAGGGCCACATCTCCTTGTGCGCCACTGGGTGGAGGCGGCGCACACCTGGCAGGCACCCCCGCCCTGCGCCCCTACCCTGCCTCTTCTCAGCTGCCCGGCTCGAGGTGGGTCACTAGGCTCTGAGAGCAGAGGAGCCGCAGCCACCGACAGGGTTGATGGAGGAATTAAATTTCCTCTGACTGAGAACCCCCCAAGCCTTCATTTGCTGGACTTGACCTGTGTCCTTAATGAAGCGCACCCAAACACGATGGTTCCCCCGACTGCAATCCTGGGCCAGAGGGGGAATTGATCTCCTCATCGTGTGAGAAGGGCTCCCTTATGGCCCAGCAAATGCTTCAGGGCAGGCCCCACCCGCTCCGCGCTCCCTTCTCAGAGCAGCCCTGAGGGACGTGGAATGGGCACGTTTGTCACGGCACAGGGCGGAGACCCCCCACTCGCCCTGGAGAAGGGCTGTGACCGGAAGAGTGGGACTCCCACAGCGGTGCCTGAAGACGCAGCTTGCCCCACAGTGGGTGACCAGCAGGGACTGGGGACGCAGGCCCGACTGGGTCTCTAGCAGATGTGGCCGGCTATTGACCCTCTCGAGGACTCGTCCCTCTCCACTTGCACATGCTGTCTGCTGGGAGTGACTGGAGGGAACATCGCCAGTCAGCGCCAGGTAGGCGGGAGACAAGGGTGCAGGATGCGGAGGCCCGTGCCAGGCCCAGCCAATGTGCGGCCTGAGCCCAGGAAGGCCCCGTGGGGAGCTGGGACCCTCAGTTCAGCACCTCAGAGCAGGGCAGCTGCTGCTCAGGCCTTAGCTGCTGACACCGCCCTGGCCTTCCTTTTTATTGACAGGTTGCTTATTTTTATAACATATATTCAGTTTTTAAATAACAAAAGGGACCCATGTTCTCTGAAGATACATTTGAAAAATACAGAAAAGCCAGGTGAAATTTAAAATAAAAAAAAAAATCACCAGCAACCTTTATTAACACTTTGCATCTCAATTAGATTTAAAGTCATGTTTTATATCCAGAAATACAACAAACTAGGAGCAGACAAGTGCTAAGCCTTATTTATTTATTCAATAAGCATTTATTGAGCTGCCTGACATCCTTTCTGCAACAGGTCAAGCCGTGAAGGAATAAAAGATAATCATGAATTTAAAATTTTTCAAAAACCCCTCGAAACCAGGCATTCACAAACATTTCTTGAGTACCTACTCTTGCACCAGAAACTTCCAAGTGCTGGGAGGCTGAGACCAGACACAGGAGGGTGTGGGGAATGTGTCTCTACACCTTTGTCGCACATGCTGGATGGCCTCTCTGGCCTGTGAGGCCACCACTGATGCCCCAGAGACATGTAGAGCCACCCTGTCTCCCCAACCTCCACATACACACACCTGTTATGTCCCTGAGTCGAAGGTAAAGGTTAGGCTAGTCAGAGACTAGGGCCACCAGGGGGTGTGTTTCCTGCAAGGCCTTTTACTGGCTGGGATTTTTCTTAGTTTCCCTCTAGGGCAGTTTCAACCTAATACATGTCTGCTCAGTGCATGTCTCCCACGGAAAGTGAGAGGACATGCTTGTCTGCTTGATTATTCCTTAGTGAGCCGAACTTAGGATCTCTTTTGTCAGGTCCCAGGTTCTGAGAGCCTGCAGATGGGGAGCAACAGTAAGGGCACCTGGCTCCCAGGAAGACCCCCTCTTCACATGGTGAGGTGTTGACAGTGTGCTGTTTGATTAGAGCAGTACAGCCCGGGATGAAGGAGGGAGGGAAGACAGGGAGAGATGAAAACTAATGCCAGGCATAATGCTAGGTGCTCTATTCATTTATTCTCTGTCTCTCTCTCTATTTTAATTTATTCCCTAAGTAAAACATTCAGTGCACAGTTAAAAATAAACACAGCAGTGTGCCGAAGTGGGCTCGTACTGGCTCGTGAGAGTCAATTGTGCATATCTCTTCTCAACTCCATGTTGAGTGTCACGGCAGTACCTTGAAATTAGCCATGGTGGGAGTATTTACACCATGGAAATGGGCAAACACTACACAAAAGGGTTTTTCTTTTCTTTCGGAGAGCTGGTTGTTAAACATTTACTGGTGCACCACTGAATAAAGATGGGCAAAAAAGTGACAAGCGAATCCACCTGTAATGCTACCAGCTAGTGATAACCACTGTTGACATACTAATATATATCCTTTTAGACTTTGTGATATGATAACATTATCTTAATTAATCTCCATAATTAACCTACGAAGTTGTCAACATCTCTACTTTCCAGGCAAGGGGATGAAAGTAAAGACGTTTGTTTGAGATTCCATGGCAGTGATTTGTAAAAAGTAGGATGAGATTCCAGGACACTCTGACTCTGAAGCCAGTTCTTTTTCCTCAGCAAAATGCTGCTTACATAGAGCAAGATCCCATTTCACAGATGAAAATACCAGTTTGGAAGGGTTTTCTGGACAACTAACGGGCTGCCCAGGGCTGTCCTAAAGCTCCAAGGGAGGTGTTGGCATGACCACAGACTGGGGTCAGAGGGCGGGTTTGGAGGACAGCGCTCACTAGCCGGGCGACCTCGAGGCAGGTGCTGAACCTTTCCCAGTGTGCGTTTCCTCATCTATGAAACGGGGCTGATAGTTACTGCCTCATGGGGTTGCTGTGATGGCTCCTAAAAGCTGCCCATCCTTATATCTTCTTCCAGGAGGGATTCAGGAGAGAGTGTGGAGAAAGCTTAATCAAAGTCACCTCCCTCAGTTTTGAAAACTAACTAGTTCTGTCCATGGGGAGTCCTTGCTGCAGGCGACACAGTCTTTGACTCTTCCTCACGACCACTCGCGGCAGACCTCTCGGGAAGGCTGATCCCTCAGACCTGCAGAACTTCGTGTGTGCACATGTGCACACGTGTGCAATGTGTGGACAGAGGAGGGCTCTCTAGGCTGTGGCTGGATGCTGAGAAAACATGTGCCTGAAGAGGATGGGACTTAGCCCAGTCTCAAACACAATGTGCGCCCACCCACAGAGAGATGAAACCAAACGTGTCTGTTTTGCCCTGTTTACTCTGCAAACGGATCAACTGTAGATCAGAGAGAGTGCTAGCATCACCACTGCATTATCACGGTGACCTCAGTCATCCTCTCGGCCTGATCACAGGCAGGGAGGGGACAAACTCCATTAGCTCCATTTTGCAGATAGGGGAAACAGAGGTACATTTGCTTCTGGGTCAGTATTTTGTAGTTTTTTACCCCAATCCACTATAGACATATATCTATCTATATTCATCCATCCACCCACCACTCATCCATCCATCCATCCATCCATCCATCATCTATCATTGAAACATGTGGGCTACACTTGGATATTTTCT